TTTAGCAGCTGTGTACTTTCTCCTGTACAAAGCCTTTCTGGAACACATAGCAGATTGGGAGTATCTACCAATTCCTCTAACCAGGATGAGATTTCGGCTGCAGTGGGGCTGCCTTTTCTTGGATATTTTTGCCTTCACCTAACCCTTTTTAAAAAATTTTATTTATTTATTTGTGTGTGTGTGTGTGTGTGTGTGTGTGTGGCCAGCTCAGCCCACCAGGGGGCGGGGCGTGCTGGCATGTGGTGCTGGGGGATTGAACCGCAGTTCCTGTGCTTTGCTAAGCATGTTCCAAGTAGGTGCTTTAGACCACTGAGCCATCTCACCAGCCTGCACCTAACCCTTTTTACCACTACCACTGGCAGCAGAGTTCTTGGCTTTGGGTTTCTTCTCTTTAGTGTCTGGCTTCTCAGTTTTTTCACCTGCCATCGTACAAGATGGGCCTTCTTTTCTTTTTGAGACAGGCTCTCATGATTAGCCTGGTCTGGCCTTGAACTCACAGTAATCCTCCTGCCTCGGCTTCCTGAGTGCTGAGATGATAGGCATGCACCATCACACTGCATGGTTTAATATCTTTTTTTTTTTTGGTGGTACCAGGGATCGAACTCAGGACCTTGTACTTGTCAGGCAAGCACTTATTCCACTGAGCTATCTCCCCACCCTCCAATATCATTTTATTTATTTATTGTGTATTTTTTAGGGAAGAGTCTACAGGGTGTTCAAGGTCTCACTACTAGATCGGACTCATAGTGATCCTTCTGTTTACAGCCTCCCAAGAGCTGGAATTATAGGTGCATGCCACCACCCCCAGTCTCAATTGCTGTCTCTGTGCGCCCCCCCTCCCCCCCGGGGTGGGGCCAGCACAGCAGGCCCTGGGATCAAACACCCGGCCCCTGCACCTCCTTGCAGGCGCTTTAATCAGCTGAGCTATTTGGCTGGCCCTTGATATCATTTTATTATTTATTTATTTATTTATTTATTTATTTTGTGGAACCGGGGATTGAACTTGCACTTGCCAGGAAGTGCTTATTCTACTGAGCCATCTCCCCGACCCCTCTTGATATCATTTTAAACGTGAGCTTCGCGTAGTGTTGGGATGGGGACCTTGCTGTGCTCACCTCGTCTCCTTCCTTCCTTGGTGCCTGGCAAAGCTCAGTGCTTGCCTTGCATGCTCCCTCAAAAATGTCAAGAGGGCAAATGAAGGAATGGAGAAGCACAGCGGCATTTCCCATCGCTGGCAAGAAAGGAGGGTTCTGAATGCCAGTGCAGAAGAGCAAGAAGACTGCAAGGCACCTGGGGCCTGCTGCTGCTCCTTGTCGGTGGCTTTCATGTGAAGACAGGAGACCAGGTGGCGTGGACACCTGCACTCTGCCCGTCTCTATGTGAGGGCCCAAGGCACTGAGCCAGCTGCGGCCACGGTCTCCTGCTAGGACCGACGATTTCCTCTGTGACATTAGTGGCTGCATCTAGGGATCCTGCAGGAGCCGAGAGCAAGTGCATGCTATGCCCGCGGGCAGCCGCCACTGCAGCGGCCTCCCTCCCCATGGTTCTGGAAAGACCCCACGCAGGAGAGGGGAGCTGGCCAGGGGTGAACCCCTGGTTTTACAGACGGGGAAGCAGGTGAGAGGGGACGTGGCTGTCCAGATCAAGCATTTTGTGACCAGGGCAGAGTGTAAGGACATAGCACGTCCGAGGCAGGGACAGCAAATGCGCTCACACTGGACTCTCGCACACTCAAGGAGCAGCTCCATGGCCGTGCTCGTTTGGCACACAGGGCAGCAGCGGTCATGGACAAGTACAGTGACTATTTACATCTGAGGGACTGTGATGGCCGGGATTGGATACACTGCCCGCGGGAGACCAAACCATAGGATTTGTTGTAGTATCAGGCGCACTGCTGTGAATTCCTCTCAAGGTCCTCCCCCGGCTTGGAGCACACTCTTCCCATCATCTCTGCCTCTTTCTGCAGCAGCTCTGGTGTCCTCTTTCCTGGGGGTCTTTACAAGGCATGGTCAAAAGCACAGTAAGTGCTGCTGCCTCCAGGCGCCACCTCTCACCCCCCAACAGAGAGGCCGGCTTGTAGAAGCACGTCTTTGCTGTGACCTCCGCCTCACGCCCTGGATCTGTGGAACTTTCGGCTCTTCCCCAAAGTCAAAATCACTGTGAAAGCAAATGTTTTGAGTGGATGCAAGACACTGAGGCGGTCAGGCCAGTGTAGCCAAAGAGACCAGGGAAGAGGAGTTCGGAGCTGCTGCAGAAGGTGCTGAGAAGGATGGGATGGGTGTGATCCAGATTTTGAAGGGATTCGTTCTGTCTCAAGAGCCTCCTTTTCTTTCTTTTTTGGCACCAGAAATTGAACTCCAGACTCCCCACTTAGCAGGCAGGTGCTGTGCCTCTGAGCTACAGCCCGGCTCCTAAGGGGATTCACGACAATGCGTCTTTCACTGTGATACATTCTGTAGAGTTTAAACATTCCCTGTAGTTTCCCCTCATGCTGGAGCCCATGCACCTCAGAGCAGATGAGGGGCCAGGCAGCTGTCTTCAGAGCTCAGAGGAGCTAGGAGCTTCAGCCCGGCAAGGCCTCCTTGCCCTGCGGGTGGCACAGGTCCCCAAAGGCATCGAGAGCAGAGGGCTGGGCAGCTGTCTCCAAGGGCCGAGGGAAAACCAAGGATAAATGTGGCCGCAGGTGGGACGGAGGCCCCAGGGCTGTGTGTGCTTGACCTTGGTGCCCGGAGCCATGTCCAGCTCAAGCTCTGTCCTCTGCAGGAGTTCCTCTGCGACCAGAAGTACAGCGATGAGGAGAACCTGCCGGAGAAGCTCGCGGCCTTCAAAGGTGAGCCCGAAAGCTGCTGGCCACTGGGGAGGCCGTGCGGCCCCCCTCCACCCAGTTTCAGCCACAGCACCCCTCTTCCTGGCCGGCTGCAGATAGGGCCCCCGGAGGTGGGGCAGGCGCCTCTCCCTGCCTCCCTGCCACCAGGGCCGCCCAGCAGGGCTCAGGTTGGCTCCTGCCGCCTGCCCGCCCATCTGCCCGCCCGCTGGGGCCCTGCTCACTGGAGCCCGCACACAATCCAGTCTTTGTGAGCCGTCCCTGCCTCCCCCTCCGCGGCTCAGCGTCTCGGGAGCCCCTGCGGAGAAAGGACGCTTGTGTCGCCTCAGTGGGGCAGGGGGGCAGAGTTTCTGCCCATTGAGTCCTGGCAGCATGGGATGAAAAGAAAACAGGGCCGGGGAGCCCACGCGGGGAGAGGGGCAGCATAAAGGTCCTTCTGTTCCGGGCCCTGACTCTTCATTACCCGCCAGCGGCTCTAAAGGAGAGCCCAGCGGTGTGCAGGAGAGGAGCACATGCCTTTCCTGCCCTGAGATGGGGCGCGCCAGGAATAGTCCAGGGGCTGCACCCGTTCCGCGCATGTAGGCAACAAACACAAAACTTGCCAGCGGTTTACAGCTCAGTTGTCCTCAGGCTGGATGTCCACGGCTGACGACCTTAAAAATGGCCAGCAGGTGAAGCTGGGCCTCCAGACCCACACGAGGGAGGAGGGGGTTGGCACGACTGTGAATTCACAGAGAAACCAGGCTCAGGAAGATGGGGCTGTTGGCTTGGGTCACCCACGGCGAGAGCTGGGACTTGAGCCATTGTCAGTCCGGTTCCAAAGCTTCTGCCCCTTATCCGAATGCTATAATGCCCTGAGAATAAGAAAAAGAATAGCTGGTAGGTGTGGCACACAGCTGTAACCCAGGCACTCAGGAGGCTGAGGCAAGAGGATCACAAGTTTGGGAGTCCAAGCTGTGAAGTGTAACTCACGATAGGAGAGGGCCTCCCAGCTGCCCTTCCAAGTGTGAGTCCAGGGCCCAGGGCTGGAATGGTTCTCAGACACATGGGGTAGAGGTCGTCCGAACAGCTTCCCCTTGGGGGCAGAAGCGGGTAATGTCGCTGGAGGAACAGCTCTGTCTCCAGCTGTCAGAAAGGCGCCTGAGATGACAGGGACCTGGGGTGTGGGTGGCGAGGGCCCTTAGGGGCCCGGTCCCAGCCCTCTGCCTCTGAGCTGACTCAGTTGCTTGTGATTTCCAGAGAAGTACATGGAGTTCGACCTGAACAATGAGGGCGAGATTGGTAAGTAGGGGCGGGCTGGGCATAGGGGGCATGGGGTGTGTGGTCCCAAGAGACTATGGGGCACACCCTGCGGCTGCCTGATGGTCACGCCAGCATGCTGTCTGTCCTCTCTGCCAGCGCCACTGTCCATGAGGTAGCCCCCACTGTCCCCTTCCTTCTGCTTTGCCCCCTTCCCAGGAGGGAGCCACACCCTGGCCAGTCTGTTCTCTCCTGTCTACCGAAGCTGCAAGGCCTCCTATTATAATCTGGGTGTGGTGGCACATGCCTGTCATCCCAGCACTGGAGAGGCTGAGGCAGGAAGATCACTGAGTTTGCAGCCAGCCCTTGCATAGTGAGTTCAAAGCCAGCCTGAACTGCAGGGAGAGAACCAGCCTCAAGCCCCCACCCTCCGGGCAAGAAAGATCTTAGAGGGAAGCAGGCGGGTCTCGGCCTGTTGCAGTGGGCTGCGGGCTCAGAAAGGCCTGGACAGCCCACACCTTTGGGCCTGGCACCAGTGCTGTGCCTTGCCAGGGCTCCGGCCCTCATCGCCCTGCCCAGCCCCCTCTGCGCCAGGCCATCGTTCAACCCCGAACAATCCCAAGGAAACCGCCTCAGCCCCAGGTGGAGGCAGCAAGGAGGCCAGAGGCAGGGGCTCTTGCACGTGCCCTGACTTTTTGGTGCCTCCCTTGTTTTGCTTGAATTTTATTCTTTTGTTGCTTGTCCTGCTCCAGGGATATTTTTGGCTCCCTCTCCCTCTCCCAGCCCAGGGGAGCCCTGACACAGCAGGTGGGAGTGGCAGGGGTGTTGAGTCCCCTGCCACACTGTGCCTAAGATGCAGACTTCCTTTCCTTCTCTTTTTTTTTTTGGTGGAACCAGGGTTTTGAACTCAGGCCCTTGTGCTTGCCAGGCAAGCGCTTATTCTACTGAGCTATTTCCCCGACCCCTCTCTTTTGGTTTTTTGAGACAGGGTCTCTCCATGAGTCCAGGCTGGTGTTGAACTCACTGTGGAGTCCAGGCTGGCCTCCAACTCATGGCGATCCTCCTGCCTCAGCCTCCTGAGTGCTGGGATGCAGGTGTGAGCCTGCTGTTGGCTGTTACTTTCTTAAAGGAGCCTAGCAAATCCATTCTACCATTGACAGAGAAGGGGTCAGAGAGATTGGGTGGTTCACCAGGTCTCCCCCAGCAGCTGGTGGGGCAGGGAGGGAGACAGCAGGAGCTGCCTGGTCTCCATGAAGGGCCCAGGCTGATGAGGGTGCCTCCACTCCACAGACCTGATGTCCCTGAAGAGGATGATGGAGAAGCTTGGGGTGCCCAAGACCCACCTGGAGATGAAAAAGATGATCTCGGAGGTGACTGGCGGGGTCAGCGACACTATCTCCTACCGAGACTTTGTCAACATGATGCTGGGGAAGCGGTCTGCGGTCCTCAAGCTGTGAGTGGCTCTGCCCCTGGGGACTCCAAGGCTTGGCCCCGGAGGGAGCAGGGGGCGTGGGGCACTGGGCAGGGGCTTGGCTTCTCTGAGCCCCCTGCTCTTACCATCAGAGGCCCCCGCTGACTGGTCCTCGCAGGGGGAATTAGCTTGAACTAGGGTGACAGTAAGTTCCAATTCATGGTAGCGACATGGATAAGTCTGGGAACACTTCCTGTGCCTCTGTTTCCTAATTTGTGGGTTTTGGTTTTGGTTTCTTGAGACAGGGTCTCCCTATGTAGCTCAGGCTGGCTTTGAACTCACTCTGTAGCTCAGGGTAGCCTCAGGCTCCTGGTGATCCTCCTGCCTCAGCCTCCCAAGTGCTGGAATGGCAAATACATGCCACCATACTTGGCCTCAGTTTCCTCATTTTGAAGCAACTCTACTACCCTGTGGGGCTGTGGGGAACATGAAATAGAATTAAAGAGCCACTTGAAAGGGAGCTGCCATTCAAACCCCGCTGCCACTGTCTGCTACTAAATGACCCTGGGCAAGTTACCTTCGGCTGTCTCGATTCCTTTGTCTGTAAAATGGGGTGAAAGCATGTCTCTTCCATTACAAGTTGTCCTACAGGTACCAATGTGACACAGACTTAGCTGCTGGCCAAATTCCCGCCCGTGCTTCCCCACTGAGGACTGAGTGCAGCAGCTCCCTGAGGGGCTTTGCCCATCGTTGCAAAAGGGGCACTACTTGCTCAGCTTTCATGAAATCAGAAGCACTTTTGAAAAAAAACTTTTATTTTTTTGTGGTGGGCTTAGCCCACCCTGGGGCGGGGCTGGTGTGGCATGTGGTGTCAGGTCCCTGTGCTTGTCTAAGCTTGCCTGAACAGGTGCTGTAGCCCGCTGAGCTATCTCATAGGCCCCTGAAAAAAAAACTGAAATGGTGTGGTGCTGCATACCTATAAACGCAGTACTCATGAGGCTGAGGCAGGCGGATCACAGAGTTCAAGGCCATCCTAGGCCACATAGTAAGATGATGTCTCAGGGAAAAATAAATAAATAAATAAATAAAATACAGTGGTAAACAATGTGTGTCAGCTGGGTGGGGTGGCACATGCCTGTAATCCTAGCACTCAAGGCTGAGGCAGAAGGATCCTTTCAAGTTTGAGACCAACATGGGCTGCAGAGTGAGCTCAAGGCCAGCCTGAGCTGCACAGGGAAACCCTGACTCCAAAAGACAAAACAAAACCAAAAACAATGCTGTGGTATTGTATAAAGGGCCTCACGGTGGGCCAGGAGAGCCCACAGAGCTTTGGTCAGGGAAGAAAGGGATCCTAATCCTGTTGTTTTCTCTCTGTTTTTCCCATCTCTAAACCAGAGTCATGATGTTTGAAGGCAAAGCCAATGAGAGCGGCCCCAAGCCGGCGGGGCCTCCTCCTGAGAGAGACATTTCGAGTCTGCCCTGAGGACCCAGACCACGGCCTCCTGCTCCTCCCCACCCCATCTCCCGCCCTTCTTTCCTGACTCTTTGGGATTTATGTACATGTGTCTGGCCCCTGTGGGCTTGTGTTTTCTTATTCTCTTTGTAAAGCACAAATTATCTGCCTTAAAGACTCTGGGTTGGGAACTCCTGAGCCTTGGGTTTCCCCAATTGCCTATCTTCTTCCTGCCTTTTCCTGGCCTTGGGCAGAAGGGCTGATATCAAACCAAAAACCGGAGAGGGCAGGGCCGAGGCAGAGGCGCTACCTCCATCCTCCCAGAATGCCTGCGACCCCAGTGCCAGGTCCCAAAAGCCTGGGGGGGAAAGGGCTACAGGCCTCATTTAGGTTCCCTTGCAGAGCCCCATGTTTCCAGTGCTCTCGGGTACCCTGGACGTAGCCACTCTGCCTCCAACCCCACAGATCCCCCCCTTGACACACCCCTCTGGTCACCCCCAAGCATGTGATACGGGTGGAAAGGAAGGGAGCTTAGCCGTCCTTGCCCTTCCAGAAGAAACCGGAAGAAACCTTCTGGCCTTGCTCCCTGGCCACACCTCCCTGTTAGAGAAGCAAAAGGCTTCGGAGGTGGAGGTGAGGCTAGGGGCTCCAGGAAGTGTCAACCGGGAAGTCCAGCCCTGCAGGGAGGACACAGAGGGCCCCAGGATGGGAGACAGGAAAATGCTTGTGCAAAAGCCAGCACCCCGGTAAGCCAGCAGTCAGTGACAGGTTGTCCTTCTGATCGCAATCGCCTGAGGCCCGACTGCCTCCTCCATGTCCCCTCTTACCCTGCTTGTGCTGCTCACACATTCCTCCATGTAGTCACTCAGCATATTTATTGAGCACCTATTATGAGCTTTAAGTCCTTCCACTTTACCTCGACCTGGGCTGTGCCCACTGTTTCTAACTCATCTTTCCTTCCCTGAGTCACTCAAAACCTTGGGCCTTGGGATTGGACTGGGCTACCTGTGTCCCTTTTAGGGACTCAGGATGGCAGAGCCCCCATCTGCCCTGTAGGGGAGCTGGGCCTCTCCACTTCCGCTGTGATGGCCACTGGGGTTAACTGCTTTGCCCAAGGCCAGGGGAATCTGGAGACGGAAGAGCCTGCCCGAGCCTCGCGTCTGCTCTGGGTGCGTCAGTGTCACAAGCGGGGAAGGGGGCAGAGGGCCAACGTCCTGGGCCAGTACTCAGGAAGGCTTATCTCATCTTTCCAGTAAGCGTCAGGGCTGGGTGAGGGCCAGGCCTGCTCTGCGGTTCCTCTGTGACCTGCTTCTCAGACCCAGGCAGGCCAGTGTCAGATGTCCTGACTCCACCTGTGATCTGGGGTCCTTACCTGTGTCCTCAGGACTAGAGGCACTCACTCGTTGACTAGATTTATTAAGCTCCTGCTATCGGCCAAGAGCTCACAACTCAGCAGTGGGACAGAAGCTTGTGGAACTTATGTGCAGTGGGGATCAAGGACCCAGGGACCAGGAGACCAAAGGGGAGTTGCCTTAGACTGGAGCAAGAGTCTTGAAGCTTTTGCAAAAGCTTAGGGACAGGGCAACTCATTTGGGACCCCTCCTGTCTCCTGGGAGCTATCTCCATTCCCCGATAAATTTTCCTATTAAAAAACAAAAAAACTGAGGGACTCGGACCCACTGGAACCACTTCGGGTTTCCCGTGGCTCCTGTAAACCCATAGGCAAGGACCTGGGGTGCTGCCCCAGTAGCAGCTTATAGGAATAAAACAGGTAGGGCCTAAGGACATGGCCAGGTCATGTCAATCCTCTGGTCTCAACCAGTTCAAGAGCAGGAGCGTGTGGGTATAGCTGGCTGATCCTCATCTAAGGGATACACAGGCCTAGTTGAAGTTTAAACCCTAGTACAACATTCCTCCCTGTAAATATAAAACCCGGCCTACCCACCTCACTCCTAGCTTCATGGGGTTTTTTTTGGGGGGAGGAGAGATTAGCAAGTGCCTGTCCCCACTCCGGGCCCTGCCTCCCCTCTCTTCCTGAAGAAAGATAAGCTTGTTTTAATTCCCTATCCCATTCAGTGTGGCTGTTTCTCACTCAGAGAGGGAGGCAGAACCAACCAGGCTTACTTCATTGGGTTCCACAGCTGGAGACTTCAGGAAGGAGAAGAAATGGAAGAAGCCTTCTCACTGCGAGGGGTGACAGAAGCCCGTCAGTCCCTTCACCAGCTCTTAGAACTCAGTCCTGGGGAGACAAGCTCACTGTGAGCCCTGGACAAGGGATCTGTGCGTATTTGGGTTGTGGCTGTTGGCTGCGGATCTCATTTCCCTAGCCAAGGGCACAGCTTCTCAGAACGTCAACTATCTTCTTTCTGAAAACGACCAAATCTAACTTGTGTAACCAGCAACGTGGGGATTGCTAAGTATGGCTTTGTCCCCGTGATTCAAAAGGAAAGTTTGTCGCGCAAATTCTTGTGACTTAAGTTGTGTGTGTGTGTGTGTGTGTGTGTGTGTGTAAGTATGCGTGGGGTGGGGTATCATCTCTACAGATTGGAATAAACCAGACAAACTGACCCGGTGTCTTTCTTGGTTTGTCTCAAGAATGGTTATGATCTCAGCAAATTCAGAAGAGCTGGCTGTGGAGCCAGCCCCAGACACCAGAACGTCCCTTCCTCCTCACATCCTCCCAGGACAGGCTCTATTACCTCATTCTTGTTTTACACAAGAAGCAGGCTTGAAAAGTAGCACAGCGGGTTGCTGAAAACCAACAGCGCATGGCAGAATACCCCTCCCCTGTGGGTTCCAAGTAGAGCCTTGTCCCAGAGCTGCCTAATTCCACTCCAGCACCTGTCTTCTACGTAGGACCTTGCAATCGTGTTAAGTCAGGTGATTTGAATTTGAATCCTGCCTCCACGCGCTGCCTGAAGGCCATGGAAAACTCTCCCAGCTCCCCTTTCATCAAATGTTAATAAACTCCTAGGTGAGGGGGAAGGCTTGAAGGTTAAACAAGATACATCTATAGTGTTTGGTGCAAAACTCAGCGCGGATGCGGCTCTTGCTCTGGAAATGATTACCTTAAAGGAGTAAACAAAGCAGGTGCTTGGTGTCTCAGGATCTCCACTTTCAGCCCGTCCTTAGACACAGGTCTCTCGTGAGGACCTACTCTACCCATCTTCTAACGAGTCCCATCATCGCCCCCTGCAAAACGCAAAGCCTTGCGGGCTGGCCAAATAGCTCAGCGGATTAAAGCACCTACAAATAGACGCAACAAGCAGGTGCAAGGGCCCCAAGATCGGATCCCCGGGGCGCGCCGAGTCGCGATTGAGACTAGATGTGGTGGCGCGCTCCTGTAATCCCAGCTTTGGGAGGCTGTAAAGGGGAGAATTACTACGAGTCGGATATCTAGTAATGAGACCCTGAGCACCCTGCAGGCCCTTCCCTAAAAATCCCCCCACCCACCAAAAAAAAAAAAAAAAGCCTTTCCTAGAAGCTGTCTAGTGAAAATAAAGTTCCTAACCTCTGTGTCGCAAGCCACTAACAGCGCTTCACCTAACAGTTAAAGTACGGCGAGGCTTCCTGGCCACGAGCGGCGGCAAAAACTTAAACAAGCGCAGAGAAACAAACGCACCCAGAAATCCCGCCCAGCGGAGCGGCTCGAGGGGACTCCAGGGCGCAGGCGCACGCCCCTCTCTCGGGCGGCCCAATGGGGGCCCGCGGCCAGTGGAGCGCGCGACTTCAGACCACGTCGAGGCTTCGCTCCGCTCCCGCCCGGACTGAGGCTCCTGACGTCACTGAGGTGCGCCGGAAGTGCGCGGCGGTGGCGGCGCGCGGCTGGGGCCGAGGTGGTGGAAATTGGCTTCCGAGAGGTCTGGGTTCTGCGGGCAAGGCCGCCGGTGGCAGCGGCCTCTGCTTCGGACGGCGCGATGGGAGACGAGATGGATGCCATGATCCCGGAGCGAGAGATGAAGGTCAGAGACAGGCTGGGGCCTCCTCCCTCCCTTCATTCGACTTGGAGTCCCGCCTGCGTCCCGCGGAACGGAGGCGCGCGTGTGGCGGTTGCCCCGCCTCTTGCGTGAACGCCTGCGCAGCCCTCCGCCCGGCCGCCGACGGGAACGCGTCCCGGGATGCAGCCTCCCTGTGCCCTGGGCGGCTCGGGCTCGCCTCCTGAGTTATCCCACCAGCCCCTTGCGGGTGGTTGCCACAGCGGCCGTAACGACTGGGCGCTTATTGCGTGCCAGGCGCTGTGGTGATGGTCACAGCGACCCTCGGCGGTGGTCGTGGATGAGAGCAGATCGAAGCTGTGCAAGTAACTCACCCTAAGTCGCATTTAACGGGAGGGCTAGGAGTCTCCCGTCCTCATGCCGGCTGTATACTTCTGTGAGGTGGTTCAGGCGTAGTCCAAGTACAACCAGGGAGAGCCGTCCCACTCGCAGAACTCCTAGCTGATTGGACTGGGAACCGGACTTTCGCCCCGGACACCTGTCAAAAGGCAGGAAACTAACGGGAAGATTACTGGTGGTAACAGGAGATAACTCCCAGGATGGCGCGTTTAATAGTTCTTATACATGTTTTGGCAGAATGAAGGTACAGAGAACGAGCTATTTTAACAGAAAGCTGAAGGGGAGTGAGTTGCTGGAAGATTTAAGCATTTGCATGAAGCACATCACTGAAGTGTGCATTAAGGGAGTAGTGAGCCTCTCCAGATCAAGAACTGGGATTTTTTTGTTCCTTGAGCTTTACTGCGTGTTGAGCCACCTACTGGGCATGTGTCCTGTTCCTCAGGTGCACTGGGGGAGGAGGAAGAAAGGTTAGAACTGCGGACTGAGGAGCATAGTCCGCCTTGGAGTTACTGTCGCAGGAAGGACTGCTCCGCGTTTCTTCATCCTACTGACCCTCTGTGCCTTGTGACAGAGGCCAAATAGAGCAGAGTCGAGATCATCACAATAAGAATTTTAAAGGACTGAAGCCAGGCACGGTGGCGCATGTCTGTAACCCCAGAACTCTGGGAGGCTGGGGCAAGAGGGTTGCAAGTTTGAGCTCAGCCTGGTACATTTAGTGAGTCCTTGTCTCAAAATAAAGGACGGCGATGTTGCTTAGTTTGAAAGCCGGGGGTTTAATACCTTGTACAAAAACAACTACTGAAATTTTTTGCTCTGCTTCTTTATGAAACCATAATATGATGTTACCTGGAAAGCTGTGTAAATTTGTGTGTGTGTGTTTATATTTGTTCATTTGTCCGTTCTTGGGGATTGTACTTAGAGAGTGCTGGGCTTCGCCCCAGCTCTTTTTAGTTTAGTTTAATTTGGGGAGTGGGGTGGCAAACGCTCAGGCTGGCCTCAGACTTGTGATGCTCCTACCGTAGTCTTCGCTGGGGTCATGAACATCTAGTCCAGGCACGCACATCTAGTCCAGCAAGCCGTGTGGATCTTTGCCCACCGCAGTCAGTTGGAGTATTTCAGCTCATCTCGTAGCACATATGCATGAAACATGGAATGCAAGGAAGTTATGTGAGCTGTGTCAGGGATCCCATATGAAACCATACAACTCTCATGTACAAAAATGAAAGCCAAAAAAGCAGTGCTTTTCTTTTTTTACACTTTTTTTTGTTTGTTTTTTTTCCCGTTGTTGGCCAGCTCAGCCTACCTTGGAGGTGGAGCTGGCATGGCATATGGTGCCAGGGATCAAACCGTGGTCCTTGTGCTTGTCTAAGCTTGCCTAAGCAGGTGCTTTAGACCCCTGAGCTATCTCTCCAGCCTATTTTTACACTTTTGGAAATGGAAGCACGACAGATTCACATCCCTTTCATTGAAACCTTGACCTGAAGATGAGTTTAAGAGTAAAGGTGAAAAAAGGGATCATGACCATACATAGTACAGTTTCACAAAGTCATGGGTAGAGTTGGTATGGGCTGAAAATAGTCTTTGAAAACATGCAGATAGATACATTTTTAGAAGGCTGGCAGAGGGGAATTGACAGAAGGCCAGGGAAAGCTTGCGGCCACTCATGTCTAACGGGAACATGAAAATTAAAGGAAATGAAACCTGAAAATAGGGGCAGGGTTGGCAGTGGCTGTAGCAGATGATGGCCCTCTGTGAGAAGGAACCAGAGATGAGGCGAGGGGGCAGAGCAGAAGGGCAGAGCCGTGTGTGGCCCTCTTGCTTGTATTAAGGGCTTGGACTTGTGCTTTTACTTACAGTGGTACCTCGGTTCACGAATTTAATTCTCTCCATATGCTGGCTGCAAACCGAATTGGTCATGAACCAAATCAGATTCCCCCATAGAGTCAACATTGAACCCAACTGTTGAATTTGACTTCAGTAAATGATTTCATAACTCTTGGAGATAGCGTTGTATTTGTTTGCTTGAGATGAGGTCTCACTGTGTAGCCTAGGCTGGCCTCAAACTCACAATGCTGCCTCAGTTTCCAGAGTGCTGGGATTATAGCTGTGGACCACCAGGCACAGCAGATTTGCATTTTGGATGTCCTCTTAGCATCTGGCTTTTAATAAGTTTTAAGTGCTCAAGATTAACTATACCCATTTCTGTGATGGGATTTTGAGCAGCTGATAAAAGAAGCCAGTTCTTGTTACTTAATTATCTTTTCTGTGGTTGTTTCAATACATATTTACAGTAGTCCCTTGCTATTTCATGGTTCGACTTTCGTGGCCTATTTCACAGGTTTTCAAAAAATATTAATCCGAACTATCGCAGATTTTTTGTTACATCACGGGACTTTGCAGTACTGTAGTGTAGGTATATTGTTAAAATTACGTCGGTATATGAGTTTAGAAGATGGTTAAGAACATCAGAAGTGTTTTTCAAAGTGTGGAAAAGGTGTATAAGAGTGTGGGAAGGGTTTCTAAAGTCTTAAAATGTATAGATACTAAAATAAATGTTTGGGGGCCGGGGAGATGGCTCAGTGGAATAAGCACTTCCCTGGCAAGCGCAAGGGCCAGAGTTCAATCCCCGGTTCTGCAAAAATAAATAAATACATAAATTAAAATAAAATACAATGTCGCAGTTTTCCCTTATTGTGAGGGTGTCTGGAATATAACCTCTGTGATAACCACTGTATTGAGTACCACACTGGAAGTTAGAACTTCCAGTACAGGTGGCTGATACTTTCACTGTTTTAATTTATTTATGTATGTCTTTGAGACAGGGTTTCAGTATGCAGCTCAGGCCGGCTTTGAACTCACTTTGTAGCCCTGACTGGCCTTGAACTTGCAGCTACCTTTCTGCTCAGCTGCTTTTAGTATTTAACAATTTATTAAGCACTACACTGGTTCATGAGATAGGAAAGATTATAAATAATAATGTGTAGCTGTGTGGTGGTTCAGCCCTACAACTAAGAATTCAGAAAAGGAAAAGAACAGTGTGGGCTAGATTAGGCAAAAAGGCTTTTCTAGAATTATTTTTCCCGTTTATTTCATTGAATAAATATTAATGAGTGCTTCCGGAGGCATCACAAAAACAGAATGTCAGACAGCTAAGACAGTTGTTGGTCTCAAGGTAATGAATTTGTTATCTTGGGATTAGGTCTACTGGAACGTCACAACAAGACCTGATTAATCTTCTGTGTTCCTCACTTTGATCTTGCGATACAGGATTTTCAGTTTAGAGCACTGAAGAAAGTGCGAGTCTTCGAACCTCCTGAGGAGCTGCCCAAAGAGCGCTGCAGCCTGCTTGCCACATCCAACAAGTATGGGCTGCTCTTCGCTGGCGGAGCCAGTGGGCTGCAGGTTTTCTCTACCAAGAACCTGCTTATTCAAAACAAACCTGGAGATGATCCCAATAAAGTAGGTGAGTCCCTTGATTTGCACTGCAGAGCTGAGAGGGCTCCGCAAATGTGTCCTCCACGGGAAGTCACTCTGATGCTAAAACTAAAGCTATTTGGGGCCCCAGGTGGACCCCAGGAGACCAGGTTCCCGGCAGCACGCTGGAAGCCTCTCTAGGTTCTCTCTCTGGTCCTTCATACTTCTCTGAGGAGTTGTTCCTTTGAGCACAGAAGAAAGAACTTTTGTTTGTGCTCAGTTGAGCTCGGGCTGTGGCTGTTTAGAAGAAGGCTTGTTACATGCCTCCTTATTTGATCCCATAGTGCCATCCAAACAGATGTGTGCTGTTTGAGCATTATAGCAAAAGTGTCTCCGACAAGGGCAGCAGCCGCAGTTAGTTTGCCCTGGTTGTGTGAGGAGCAACCCCTGAGGTTATAACACATTTATAACACACACCTATGTGTCTGTAAGAAAGTTAAGATTTACTAGCATAACTAGTTACCGGGGGAGGTATGTTTATATAGATTCAAAACTTGATTCCCATTATTGGGTAAAGGAGCGTGGCTTGGTGTGTAGAGCATGGCATTTTTTCCGCTTTCTCTTTCCCCCTGTGTTTCCATAGTTGACAAGGTCCAGAGCTTGCTTGTTCCTATGAAGTTCCCAGTGCATCACCTGGCCCTGAGCTGCGACAACCTCACGCTATCTGTGTGCATGACGTCTGGGGAGTATGGCTCCATCATTGCTTTTTTTGATGTGCGCACCTTCTTAAACGAGGTAAACAGAAACTGTGACATCAGAGAGGGAACCTATGAAGAGAGAGTTCCTCTATGGAATTACTATTTGGAGGCTTCTTTCCTTGACCTTTGAAGGCTGTTTTGGTTAAAATGCAGGCTAAAAAAGGCGTCCTTAACTACAGACTCTTACCACTTTGTGAGAGAGGGGACTTGAAGGAAGAATTCCTAACTGCACCTGGCTCAAGGTGTGGGGTTGCCCTTATACATAGGAAGCCAGCCAGAGGCTTAGGTGGCCTGCCAGGCCCGAGGGGTAAGCATGCAGCATCAGAAGCCCCCACTTTCTTCCTCTGGCCTCTAAATGCCATGTTGCTGTGCTGTAGTTTCCATATGAGAATAGTCAGCTATATATAGTTAGGGTTTTTGTATCAGCCCCTTGCTCACACAGTAAATGCGATTTGGAAAGACGGACTTCAGGTATTGACTGCCCAAGGTCCCAGTGATATAAGAAGCAGAACCACGATTTTCATGTTGTGCCTGCCACATTTTGGTTATTTTGCTTACATACATTCCCCTGCCAGGAGCCGCTCCGAGCAGCTAGAATAATTGCTTGCCATTTTCAGAATTCCTTTGAAATCATCTATAACAAATACATTGCTATGTAGAGCCAGATCTCTTTTTAATGTTAATGGAAGAGTGAATTCTGATTTAAGAGGACTTGCGTCTTTGCTGGTTTCCTTTGGGTACTAAATGTCTGTGTGTGTATTAATTATCTTGCTTTTATGTATCTGTTTTCAAAGGCTAAGCAGCAGAAGCGCCCATTCGCCTATCACAAGCTTTCGAAGGATGCCGGAGGCATGGTGATCGATATGAAGTGGAACCCTACTGTCCCCTCCATGGTGGCAGTTTGTCTGGCTGATGGTAGCATTGCTGTCCTGCAAGTCACCGATGCGGTGAAAGTGTGCGCCACCCTTCCTTCCACAGTGGCAGTTACATCCGGTGGGTAATAAAGGCTTTCACTCCGTAACATACAGTAATGGTAATCTATTTAAAAATTAATCTCTGCGAGTAAAAGTGGATGGTTTTTGCTATGTGTGGGGTTTTTTAAATTAGAAGTGGAGAGCATTCATTCCCACAGTTAATGTCCTTGAAGTCAAATAGCATACATGAATTAATTTGAATGCACTTGGGTTATCTGGGGAGAGAAATATTGTGGTATAGCTCATGTAGAACTGTTTTTGAGAATAATTGCTTTTCAGTAGAAAAGAGTTGTCTTCCTAAAGTCTTTTGCACCTTAGTGGGAAAGCATTAGAAACAACAAATAAGAGCAGGAGAGTGATTTATTGGTACTTGAAAACTTCATCTGTCCTCTTTTCTCATCTGAAGACTAGTTTTCTGTGTGGCTTTCTGGAGAACACTGCGCTGGAGAAGCTCACAGAGCTCGGTGCCACAGCCCAGTGGAAGTCCTGACTGCCTCGCATGGCTAAAGTGATGGCACCATTTTTTGACCTGTTTTTGGGCACGGGTGACCTCACAGTCCTCCATGGACTGACAGAAACAGCCTGTCTCAGTTACTCTTTTCTCGTTGCTGAGACAAATACCCGACACTCAAAATTAGGGAAAGATAGGTTTGTTTAGTGCCCAGTTACTGGAGGTTTCAGTCCATACTCAACTGGCTCCAAGGCAGAGCAGCACACGGCAGAGAGCAGCCTTTCATGGTGGTGGCAAAGGGAGGGGTAGCAGCAGTTCAAGCAGCTAGCTTCTCTTCCCTCCTTACATTGTAACGTAGATCGCCTGCCTCAGGGCAGGGGCAGCATCCACACCCACAGTAATCAATCACAAACTCTAGAAGCCTGCTCCATGACTGCATGAGGCTTTGAGGGGACAGCTAGACACAAACCATAGCAGCCTCAGTGACTGTGTAGCTGTTTCTCTCTGTCTCTCTCTTTTTTTTTTTTTTTTTTTTTTGCGGTACCAGGGATTGAACTCAGGACCCTGAGCTTGCCAGGCAAGCACTTACTCTGCTGAGCTCTCTTCCCGGCCCGTGTGTGGCTGTTTCTGATCCCTCTTTGGCCAGCTGTGTCCCTCAGCGTCTAATCGGCTGCCTTCTCTTCTTGCCCAGTGTGCTGGAGCCCCAAGGGAAAGCAGCTGGCGGTGGGAAGGCAGAACGGAACTGTGGTCCAGTACCTTCCGGTGAGTTCTCGCTTTGGCCTTCAGAACTTCTCTTACTGAAGTTACCTATTGATTTCCACAGTGATTGACAACACCTTGGTTGCTCTTTTCTGTCAAAAAGTAGTTTATCTGGGCTGGGGAGATAGCTCAGCTGCATAAGTGCCTGCCTGGCAAGCGCAAGGTTCTGAGTTCCATTCCCAGTACCAAAAAAAATAGTTTGTCTGAGGTGGCACACGCCTATAATCCCAGCACTTGAAGGCAAGAGGATCACTGTGAGGTCAGGTGAGGTAGGCCTGGGCTACACAGCAAGACCTTGTCTCAAACAAAACATAGTTTATCTGAGTTCAATTTCTGATACTGCCAAATACATACACACACGTTTGTACATGTATGTACATTATGGTACAATGTAATATGTAACATAATGTAACGTAATCATGTTCATTGTAACGAGTGATGGAGAAAACAGAGGAGGGCCTCGCCCCCTTGTCCTTCCTGAGGCGCCCGCTGTGCGCCTTAGCTGGCGCCCTGCTGTACTGGCCCAGGCGTTTGTGTAAGTAGACCACATTCTACAGACTGACTCCCCTTCTTCACATTTCTGGTCCATTCTGTGAAAGCAACATGTAACGGGGAAAGCAGTGGCAGAGGCGTTAGCACACCAGACTCCCTCCGCGTTAAAGCCCAGTGTCTGTCTCGTAAGGTTCACTCCGTGCCCCTGCAGACGACAGAGAAAGCAGACGGTGCTCTGGTGGCATGAGTGCAGTGTGGTCCTTGGTTATGGCATTTCGCAGATACTCTGCAGTGTAAATGGACTCCCCTCTAGGGAATCTGCACGTCTGTCCAAGTGTGGACGTGAGGGGGCTGTTCCCAGGCCTCCAGGGCCCACGCTGCGCCTTCCGCCTCAGCCTGCTCTGGGGGAGATTAAAGGATAAATGAGGTGGTTTTTTATTTGTCACATTAAGAATGTTTGTTTGTTTGTTTGAAGCTGGTTTTTCCGTGTTGCTGGTCTAGCCTCCAGTCCTGCGGCTCAGGTGCTCCTCCTGCCTCAGGCTCCACAGCAGGCTAGGGTGACGGCACCGCCACCATGATGTTTAGCTTGCATCGTATTTTGCCACACTGTGGTGTATTCTCTTGGGGAGCTTTCGCCTCAGAAGAAGTGACTGGCTCAGTTTCACTGCCTTCTGGGTTGCGCAGGCGCAACCCTGAGGTCCTCCTCCAGTCGCTGCGTGGTCGTTCCTTCATAGCTGCTCAGTGGGCCACGGTGGCTGTGCCACAGGGTCTGCCTCATTCGGGCTGGGGCTTTGTTACTGTGAGTGCAGCTGAACTGAGCAACCTTGCTGCGTTCCTGTGCACACTCTGTATGACCAAGACAGGCGCCGAGGGGTCAGCAGGCGTTTCTCGGTTCAGTCTCTTTGACTAGGGAGATGGGATAGGTAGCTTCAAGGGAACAGATTTGATTTGATAGTCTTACCAATTTAGGCATTGTTGCATTGACACTTTTCAAATCTTTTTCAGACTTTGCAGGAAAAAAAAGTGATTCCCTGTCCTCCGTTTTATGAGGCAGATCATCCCGTGAGAGGTAATGCTGCCTTTCTTACCATGATGACCCTGAGGGGGGTGTCCTTGGTGTCCCCGGTCACGCAGTGTGATGATGACCCTGTCGAGACCCCATGTGTCTTGGAATAGGACTTGAACCGGATCCCAACCTGTAAAAAAGTCTTCAGTCTGCCCTGAGTATAAAAGAAGCAGCTTCTTTGGATGAGTTTGGGCTCCTTGATCTGTGAATATTACTTAGTAAAAGCTGGGCCTTTGCTAACACTGTAGAACTTGGATTTTTTTACTGAAGGATGCTAATCTGATAGCCTGTAGTGGTCACACCTCGCAGAAGCTGCTTTCTGCCAGCCTGGGAGCTGCAGTCTGATCACCCCCTGAGCAGGGTATGTGTACGCTTTCAGTGCTGGACGTGCTGTGGATCGGGACTTACGTCTTCACCATCGTCTATGCCGCTGCAGATGGGACCTTGGAGACGTCTCCAGAGGTGGTGATGGCGCTGCTTCCGGTACGCGTGGGAAGGGCCGCCTTTTGGTTGGGGCTGGAGCGGTGTGCTAGTAGAGGTAGAGAGCCAGTGTAGGCTTCCTTACTCACTGCAGCTCCAGTGCAGGCCTAGGGGTGCAGTTTCAGCTCTGTACCCAGGGCCTGGCAGCTCAAATCAGGGTGTGCACTGGAGAATTAGTCCTGAGGTGAAAGAATGTGAAGGGACGTGTTTCTCCTCAAGCTATAAAGAGAGTGAATCTTGGTTAACAAGCTTTAAAAGTTTTAGGACAAAAAGGAGAGATTACCTTAACTTGGAATTTTTGTATTTATGGTAATGCATATGGCACATGAGGCCTTGCTTTAAAGCTGAGCATGCAGAGGTGACCAAGGCAGAGTCCCTGCTCCTCCGGATGTGGCAGCTGCTGTCCTGCTGGCTGCAGGTGTGATCGGGGATGTCTAGAAGGAGGCAGCGAAGCCTTAGAGCAGAGCTCCGTGGAGAGAGGGATGGAGTCATGAGGAGGACGAGAGGGCTTTTTTATTTATTTTATACTGGGATTGAACCCAGCACCTTCACACTGAGCTGCATCCTCCGCCCCTTTTATTTTTTATTTTGAGACAGGGTCTCACCAGATCACTAAGTTGCTCAGGTTGGGCTCGAACTTGTGATTCTCCTGCCTCAGCCTCCTCAGTAGTTGGGCTTGTAGGTGTGCACCCCCACATTAGCACTAGCATGGAGATTACTGGAGAGAAGCTGAATAGGGGTCACTGTGCTTTGCATTCAGGACAGACTGCAGTAACTTAGCAGATCCTTTATGCGCTGAGAACTGAGTAGCAGAGAGGCTGAGTAATCTGGCCAGGGACGTCCTGTGGTCCCAAGCGACAGCGGAGCTTGAGTGAGCTCAGTTGCTGCACTTCTGCCCCTGCACTCCTCGATCCCACCTTTGTGTCGTGCCCACGCGTTTGTATATAGACTTTGAACATTCTCCTACAAATTAGAAGACTGCCTTTGACATTACCAAGGATTCAGGGAGATTGTGCATGAGACCTTTTTGCTCTGCTCGTTGTAGAAAAAGGAAGAGAAGCACCCGGAGATCTTCGTGAACTTCATGGAGCCCTGCTATGGCAGCTGCGCCGAGAGGCAGCACCATTACTACCTCAGCTATGTCGAGGAGTGGTGAGCAGTGCTTTCCTCTGTCACTGTCGGGTCACCCTTTCAGTCCTGGTCACATTTAGGTCTCTGTTTCCCCAGTCTTGAGATGTTTGGGGTAGAGAGGTGTGCATTCATTGAAACACCCAGTTTTCTCAATAAGCCCAGTGATGACTTATGAAAATATTGATGATTAAGGGCTGGTGAGATAGCTCAGTGGACTAAACCCTTGCTTAGGCAAGCACAGGGGCCAGAGTTTGATCCTTGGCACCACATGCTACACTGGCCCTGCCCCCTGGGCACACTGAGCCAGCGATGGAGTCCAAGTGTAGTGGCGTACACCTGTAATCCGAGTACTAGGGAGGCTGAAAACAGGAGGATCACTACAAGTCCAAGCTGTGTAGTGAGACTCTGCACACAAAAAAAGAAAATATTGATGTTTTAAGAACATATTTAAAGTCTCTGAATGTGGGCGTGGCGGTGCAGGCTATGTTGTGCTCTGAGGCCCAAGAGCTGAGTTTCAGGCCAGTTTCCCTTTGGAAGCTGGATTATCTGAACGCCACACTCCTGGCAAAGCCTCTGGGCTTTGGGGCAGACACTGGGCTCTTTCCAGCCTTTCTCTGTGTCTTCACCAAGCTTGGCTATGGGTGGGCTTCCCAGGTCTTCGTCCTGGAACTAAAGAACTCTCCTGGGTCTGGACCGCGCCCTCCTTCCAGGAGCGGGGTGGGGACCTCTCTCCTGGACATGTGCAGGAGGTCCACAGATGTCACCCTGGGTCAGAGTGATCGTCGGTGTGTTCAACCCTGTGGTCTTCTGCTCTCGTTCCTCAGGGATTTAGTGCTGGCGGCATCCGCAGCTTCAACAGAAGTTAGTATCCTTGCTCGGCAAAGTGACCAGGTGTGTTTCTCTTGTCATTGCAACGCCATGAGGTAATGTCCTCAAGAGAAAGCTGGAGGAAACGAAGCACGTAGTGAGAGATTCAGATGGGCTCCAGGTGTGACCCCTCTGGGCATCAGACCAGACAGGCAGCCTGGGTGTTAACACTGAGGTGTGGAGTCACAGTGTCCTTCCAAAACTCACTCTGAACCAGGCATGGTGGCGCACATCTGTCATCCCAACATTTGGGAGGCTGAGGCAGGAGGATCACTGTCACATTGAGGGCAGCTACATAGTGAGCTGAAGCCCAGCCTCAGCTACATAGGGAAATACTGTCTCAAACAGTTCAGAGGAGACAGGACTGAGGTTCCCCCTTCTCTAGGTGAGCAAGCATGGGGTACATGGCTGGGTGCGACATGGGATGGATGTGCCCCATGAGAAAGTGAGTGTTACGGGGGTTGTTCGCAAGGCAGGCCTTCATTCACCTGGGAAAGGTGGAGGGATTGCTTTTGGCTTACTGAGGTTCTCAAGGCTTTCAGTCGCTTCCGTGTGTCAGAGCCTCACAGCCAACACGTAAAGCTGAACTGGGTGAGGCAGTTTGCTTTTTCTCTGCTGCTGAGAGGAACTGACCCAAAGCTGTAACCAACATGCACTTTTTTGCTTGCAGGTTAATTGGGAATCTTGGCTCCTGGAGGACTCAAGTCGAGCTGAGTTACCGGTGACAGACAAGAGTGATGACTCGCTGCCCATGGGAGTGGCCATTGACTACACCAACCAGGTGGAGGTTGCCCTCAGTGAGTGTCACCAGTGCGCGTGCAGGAGTGGAGCTTCACTCTTCATGGTGGTCCCACGGGTCGGTCAGCTCCTCAGGGCATGTTGCACTCTGCCTCAGCGATGCAGGGCAGCATGGGGACGCCACACATACACACATGCTTCTGCAGGCGTTGGAAGCTGATTGAGATGAAACGTTTGGGTTTCAGGATGTGGCTTCTTCGCCCCTTGCAGATCCCCGTGACCTCCCAGGGTAGGGAGAGTGTTGTCCTCATCTGGGCCTGCCCAGAGATGTGGACTGGACACAGTGGGAGCTGGAGACTCACCCTGCGGCTGGCGCCATAGGCCTGGCCCCTGCTCTCAGCAGCACAGAGCTGCTCGTAGACCACGACAGTACAGCAGAAGAAAAAGCTTGCCCTCAGGTGCCCTGTGTGGAGAGCTGTCACCCGGGCAGCTGAAGTCACTTTTGCTTGCCCTGGTCTGGCTGGCGTGTTTGATCTCATCAGCTCATTTCCTGTGATTCTCTTGACATCTCCACAGACTGAGCTGTTAATGAGCACAGCGTAGCCTCACGTACCTGTCCCTGTCCTGCTGTGTATTTCCTAGAGCTCAGCCTGTCTCCTTTCTAGCACACCCAATGCTCCCCAGAGCCCTGTCTTGCCAGAGAGGCACAGACCTGCCTCCTGGGCACCACAGTTGTGAACACAGGGAGCCGGGAGAGGTGGGGTGCTCACTCAGCAGGCATCTGCTAGCAGCTGACTGGTGCTCTTGCTGAGTGGTGTGTGCCAGGCCGCCAAGGCCTCGCCAGAGAGGGCCTACCTGTGCCCGAGCGGCTCCACACAGTCTCTGCTGTGCCTAGGCCCTGCCATTGGGTTGACAGCGATCTCAGCTCTCCATGGATTTCTTCTTTCATAGGCGATGAGAAGACCCTCCCTCCTGTTCCGGTGCTCCTGTTACTTTCAACAGACGGCGTGCTTTGTCCATTTTATATGATTAATCAGAATCCTGGGGCCAGGTCTGTCATAAGGACCCCGGAGCGGCTCTCACTAGAAGGCGAGCGGCAGCCAAAGTCTTCAGGTCTGTGGCCCCCTGGGCTCACACAGGAAATTTCCAAGTACCCTGAGGACAAAGATGGTGACTGTGACCCTCATCTGGCCAGTCTGCTTGCCTGAGCATGGGCTGACCTGTGTGGTCCTTTTTTATGAGAAAAAATACAGACATAGAAGAAAACACTTGAGAGATGGATAGTAATGGTGTTTATTTCCTTATTTATATTTCATTTTCGTTTTCTTCCCTTTTGAAAATACTTGTTTTAATTTTTTTTTCTTAGTACTGGGGATCAAACTAGGACCGTGTACTTGCCAGGCAGGTGCTTATGCCTCTGATCTCTCTGGCTCTTAAAGGTACTTGTCAAGTAACGTGTTAGTGAGGAGAAATTAGAAAATTGACCCACAGAACTGCTGTGCAGAGCTGTGGCTACGCAATGCTAATCCCTGAGTTCATGACACTGTCATTCAGGACAGGAAAATATCAAACTTATTAAATGATTTCTTTCAGTATTGAAATTTCAGCAATATTTATCTTTTTAGGGTTTTTTTTTTTTTTTTTGTTTTGTGCAGGGTCTCACTACGCAGCTCAGACTTGTAATGATCCTCCTAATTTCTGCCTCCCTAGTGCTGGGATTATAGGCATGTACCACCACGCCCAGACTCCATTGCCAGCTCAGTGCACCTGGGGGCAGGGCCTGTACTGCGGATCGAACCCTGGCCCCTGCGCTTAGCTAAGCAAGCACTTAATCCACTGAGCTATACCACCGGCCCTAGTATTTGTCTTTTTTTAATTCTGTGTGTAACGGTAAGATTTTTTTTCTGCTAGTATGGCTGTAAGAGCCCACGATATAAGCCTGACACTGTTGGAGTGCATTTGCTTACTGCTCAGGTATGGAGCAAGTTGCACGCAGAACTAAAGCTGCCCTGGCACTGGTGCCCAGCAGACTGCATCAGGACCCTGAGCAACCCAGGAGGTGGCTGGCTGGTGCTGCCAGTGTTATATGATGACATCCTGTTATCTGAAGGGTGTTCCCTTTGGGGCTGTCCCTCCCCGCCCTGGCCAGGTCTCTTATAGAAAGAAAGCAGGGCAGGATGTGTACAGCCAGGGATGGTTTCCCATGAGCCTCCTTGGCCTGCAGGCTGGAGTGGGAGGAAGAGCAGTGTGCTGATAAAGAGCATGCAAGTCTGGAGCTGGGAGAAGCGCGCCCCAGCTCCCGCCTGGCAGGTTAATGGTTCTGTCCAACTACGTTCCAGGGCGCCTGTGTTGAATGAACGGTTGTGGGAAGAGTGACAAGTTTCACATGTTGAGTCGTATTTTCAATAGCAAAAGTGCCTGTATTTCTTTAGCTTCTGATATGTATTCTTCATGCTGACTTAATATGCATAGAAATGATTTATATGTCTATGTTTGTATCTTTGAAGAAGTTAGCCAGGGGCTGGTGCAATAGCTCAGCAGACTAAAGTGCCTGTGTAGGTAAACTTAGGCAAGTGCAGGGACTGGCACCACATGCCGCCCTGCCAGCCCTGCCCCCAAGGCAGGCTGAGCTGACCAGAGTCCAGGCATGGGGCATGGTGGCACACACCTGTAATAATCCCAGAGCTGGGGAGGCTGAAAGCAGGAGGATCACCACAAGTCCAAGCTGTGTAGTGAGACCCTGCAACAACCAAATACATTTAAAAAAGCTGGCTACAGTGGTGCATGCCTGTAGTCCCGATATTCTGGGAAGCTGAGGCAGGGGGATTACAAGTTTGAGCCCTGCTTAAATAATTTACTAAGACCCTATCTCAAAAATACAAAAAACCTAGGTGTGGTGGCATAAGCCTATAATCCTAGCACTCAGGCTGAGATAGGGTGATCACTTTGAGCTTTAAGGCCACCCTGGGCTATATCATGAGACCTTGTTTTAAAAAAAAATAAGGGCTGGAGGTGCAGCTCAGCGTAAAGGCCCTATACCATCACACTGCTCCAAGTTCTGTATCTGCTGTAAGAGAAGTGTCTCTAGGACGGAATTGCTTGTGGTGTGCTACGCGGACAGACGTGATAGGGTCTTTGCGTTCAGCAGGTGCTCCATTCGTGCTCCTGTCCTGCAGACTCCATTGCGTTAGTCTCCCATTCCTTCATGGATTGCTTGTGCTGGAAAGTCCAACACCAGCTTTAGCCTCGTTCTTTCTGGTTTCTTAGACTAGTATCTTTCCAGCTTCATTTAATCACGGACCCATTGTTCTGTTTGAGGCAGGGTCTTGCTGTCTATTTCAGGCTGGCCTTATACTCTCGCTAAGCAGCCTAGGTTGGGCTTGAACTTGCAGCCATCCTCTTGTCTCACCTCCCCTGTGCTGGGACTACAGCTGGGCACCACGATGCCAGGCCCTTGCAGGCCCTCCTCTTTTGCTGTTGTCCTGTGGGCCTCTGCTGCGGTGTTAACCTCTTCCTTTTTCTCCTTGCTTTTCTTTGCAGGAAGTACTCCCACCACCCCAACCTCGTCTCAGTCCCTGCTCAAGCTGGACGCCTCGGGAGCAGCAGTCCCGGCCTCAGCTGCGTCAGTGCCGCCCACTGCCTCCGCCACTGGCTTCACTCTGCCTTCTGCCGGGGGGACCCCGGCCGTGTTTGCCTTTGGCTCCTCATCCTTGAAGGGCTCTGCGCTTGGCCCTGGAGAGCCCCCTCCCTATCCCAGTGGCTCTGATGGCCCCAAAGCGGCTCTGGGCTCTGCCGCCCCCACCTTTTCTTTGGCACCACCCTCCAAGGGCTCCCTAGTAGCCACGCCCACTGCTGTGCCCCTGGCCCCATCCTCGGGTTTCAAGCCTGCCCTGGAGAGCACCCCGCTGCCTAGCACAGCACCAAGCTCGGGGCTGAAGCCTGCCTTCCTTCCCACATCCTCTGCAGTCAAGGTGAACCTGAGTGAAAAGTAAGTGGCCCATGTGCGGCGCCCTCCGCAGCGCGACTCCCCTGTGTGGGATGCACCTAGAGCCCCTGAGCTGTTACTGAAAGGGGAGCATTTTCTAAAATAATACTTGAAATGGCTAAAATTCCGCCAACATAAGGTCTTTAACTTAGTTTTTTGATTAGACATTGACATCTGAATCCCCACTGTGCTGCTTCACACCACACAGCAAAGAGCTAGGCGTGCTTAAAACCAGGGAGCACCAGTGTGTGCCCTGTAAGGCAGCTGCCTGCCTGTACCCGCCCTTGGCTGCTTGCTGTGCACCTGCAGACCGCTTGGCGGCCCCCAGGGCCTTCTCAGGGCCTCCAGAGTCTTGGCGTGCCTGCCTGCTTCCCGTAGGTGCAGATGCTGTCGCTTCCTGCCGCCCCACTAGACTGCAAGTGTGCGAGGGTCACACTCCTCTGGGCCCTGCACTTTCCTGCCTGCTGCCTGCTGGCTCTTCTGTCCTTGTTCCTGCCATGGGGGCCATGCTGTCACATAGCCCCTTGTGTCCCCACTGGTACTGCACCACATTTCACGGGCCTTCCCCTTGTGGGTGCGCCTAGGTTGTGTGCAGGACAGACTAGGGAGGGAGTAAGGTTTTCATGGCAAGACCAGCACTGAACTTTTCATGCCAAGTGCTTCACTGACGCTGACGTAGTTGAATCATCCATTTCTAATCAGGTGGGTGGTGGCGCATACCTGTAATCCCAGCACCCAGGAGGCTGAGGCAGGCAGATTGTGGGGGTTTGAGGCCATCCTGGGCAACGTAGGGATTTCAAGGTCAGCCTGAGCTGCAGTAGCAAGAGCCTGTCTCAGGCAAATAATCAGGTGATCAGTGACCTTGTGTAAGCAGTCGCTGAACACGTGCCCTGCGGCAGGGCAACATGGGTAGTGTTCTGTGATGGTGCTCGTGGGCAGCGGGAAGGGATCTTTAGCTGGCTATCATGACAGTGGCATGGCCTCCTGCAGGTTCACCGCAGTAGCCACCTCTGCTCCCGTCCTCAGTGCTGCAAATGCTCCATCCGTGCTGCCCTCATCGTCCACCTCCAGACCAGCGTCTCCAGGACCCCTCAGCCACCCCACGCCTCTCTTGGCACCGTCTGGCTCCATGTTTCCGAAGCCTGTGGCATCTTCTGCATCCCCAGGTACAACTTGCATGGGGAAAGTGCTGGGGCTTAGAGGCCCTCCTGGCGCAGCTGGACACAGCTGTTTCCCCTTGCCTCCTGCACCTTGCCTCACAGACCTTTCTTCTTCTTAGTTTTTTAATTTTTCTTATTTTTTATTTTGAGAATGAGTTTCACAAAGTTCCCCAGACTGGAATGAATTTACAGTCTTCCTGCCCCAGCTTCCCAGAGTGAAGGGATTACAAGTATGCACCACTGTGCCCCACTCAATTTTGTTCTGTTTTTTGCTTTATTTATTTTTATTTTGTAGCAGGGTCTTACTAAATTGGCCAGGCTTAAACTTGTAGTCCTCCTGCCTCTGCCTTCTGTGCAGCTGGTTACAAGGATGTGCTTCCATGCCTGGGCTATCCTCCCATTTTATATGATTCATAAAAGTGTTTGGTGGGCCGGCGAGATAGCTCAGTGGACCAAGCGCCTGCTAGGCAAGCACAGAGACTGGGGTTCGATCCCCAGCGCCACATGCTGTGCCAGCCCCGCCCCCAGGCACGCTGAGCCAGTGACTGAGTGCAGGCATGGTAGCACATGCCTATAGTTCCAGTTCTCGGGAGGCTCAAAATTGGAGGATCACTACGAGTCCGAGCTGCGTAGTGAGACCCTGAACCAAATACATAAAAAGAAAAAGTCGTCCACGGGTCGAGTGCTTTTTTACCTTTCACAATGCCATGGGTTCAGTATCCAGCATCACGAAGTGTTGTACATCCAAAGTTGTAGCGTGTGTTTTCTTAGAACAGAAGAAATCGTCCTCTTCTCCTTTGTGGTCCGCGGAGTGTGATAAGATGAAAACAGAGCTACAAACAGCGTGGCAGCTGTCTTCTGAGACAGGAGGAGGGAAAGGGCTTGTGGGGAAGGCCTGGAGCGAACCCTGCTTTTTTGACTGATGTGTTTGCTAACAGTGCGATCCTCTCAGAGCAGTCCGAGTCCAGTGCCATCCATGGTGCAGAAGTCACCCAGGGTCACCCCGCCAGTGACGAAGTCTGGCCCTCTTCAGGTGTGTCCAGGCCGGCTGGTGGTGCTTGCCTTTATTCATGTCTCGCCTAAGCATGCTTGTTAGTGAAATGAGTTTTCGTGTTTTAGAATTCAGACCTTCAAGGTAGTAACTAGGACGTGTGACCTAAATAGTTGCAGTATGCTTGCTGAAAACATCGATCTTAATGTTTCAGTTAATATGTAATTTACCTCCGTGAAGTGCATGTAATGTGCGTACGGGTCAGTGACTTGGTGCTGAGCCCGGGACCCCTGCTCTGCTCCTTGCTTCTCCACCCCCTGCGTACAGTTCATGAGCGCAGTGAGAGAGGGGAACGTGGCACAGTGGCTGCCTGACACTGCGACTTGCAGCACCTGTAAACCTGATGCCTTCCATTGCAGCCAAAGTCACTTCAGCCTCCTGTTGCAGAGAAACAGGGGCATCAGTGGAAAGACTCAGACCCTGTGCTGGCTGGGATTGGAGAAGAGGTGAGTCTGTTCCCGCGCTGGTTATGCCGGGTGAAGTACACAACACCCAGACACCGGGTGGTACTGTCCGAGAGACCAGGGCGGCCCTGGGTGTGGCCTCGTCTCTGACCTCTGCTAGCAGTTGTGCCTGGCCATCGCAGGAGCCTCCCCGTGAGTCAGCACAGAGGCCTTGCTGTCACCATGTGCCACTCACACGGAGTCCTTTCCCTGTGTGTGGCTCCTGCAGATCGCACACTTCCAGAAGGAGCTGGAGGAGCTGAAAGCCCGGACTGCCAAAGCCTGCTTCCAGGTGGGCACCGCGGAGGAGATGCAGATGCTCCGGACAGAGTCGGCTGACCTGCACACCTTTCTCCTGGAGATCAAGGAGACCACGGAGGTGCGTGTGCGGCCGCGCTGGGCCTGGGCGGAGCTGCGCCCGGAGGCCCGCTCTCCCCCTCGCTCCTCTGAGGTGGGCATGAGCGCTGGCATCTTGTTGTGTAGTTCACCAGGCATACCGTGTTCACATCCTGCCTGCAGGACTTCACCCATTGATGCCAACAATTGCAATTTTCTGAAAAGTTGCATGAAAATTTTGAATATTACCTACAGAAATTCAAGGAACAAAAATTTGAGGAGAATAGTTCTTACTAGGTTCTATTGCTAGATACTATTCCAAAAGTGGACACTCGGCCTAAGAAGATTCCTCGCTCCTGTGACAGGCAGGTTAACCCAGTTACTGTTTCAGTTTTCTCATCTGTAGGGTGGGGTGACAGTTTCTCCCCTTGACGCCTACTCAGCACACCATGAAGTTGACTGTGGCTGTGGACTTAGGTACGCTGGAAATTGTGTTATCTTTGTAGTGTTGCATTAGGAGGAGCAGGCCACGTTAAGAGCGTGTGCGGTAAAATGTGCCCGGCGTCCATTGTTAAGGGCGTTACGTTATGCACAGGTGGTGGCACTGTTCCTTCGTCACTAGGTCCCGTGTGCCTGGCATTGTGCCAGGCACTTCGCCCTCACCAGGAAATTGAGGCGCCCAAAGATGAAAGCATTTTGGCAAGTTCCCGTTGCGTGACTACCAGCGCCAAGGTCCCATTGTGCACTGTCTCAGAAGCTCTGATCTCAATGACATGCTGGAAAGGACGTCCGGGTAGTCCCACAATCACAGAATCCTGAGGGTACTCTCAGTGCTTCTGCTGAGAGTGCTACTTGCCGCTTCCCACTTCCTGCTTTCCACTAGCCATCATCAGAACACTTTTTTTTTGGTCTTTTTGAGACAGGGTCTCATTATGTAGTTCAGGCTGGCCTTGAGCTCACTTTGTGGCCCAGGCTGGTCTCAAACTCAAAGATCCTCCTGCCTCAGCCTCCTGAGGGCTAGGATTACAGGTGTGCACCACCACGCCCTGCTAAAACATGTTTTCATAAAGAAAAATCATTTTTTGGGGGGGCAGCCAAATAGCTCAGCAGATTAAAGCTCCTACAAGCAGGTACAGGCGCCCGGGTTTCAGTCTCCGGCCCTGCCATTCTGGCTGCACCCTCAGGGCTCCCTGAGATAGTAATTGAGACTGGGCGTGGTGGCGTGCTCCTATAATCCCAGCTCTTGGGAGGCTGTAAACAGGTGGATCACTACGAGTGTGATCTATGCAGTGAGACCTGGTACACTTTATAGGCCCTTCCCTAAAATACAAAAGAAAAGAACAATAATTTTTTTTAAGGAAAAAGAGCTTTAATGTCTTCTTTTCCAAGCAGTAAAATTCTTTTTCTCCATGAACGTGAAAGTGAACAGATTTGTGAATAGGTGGTTCCTTGTGTTGTTTGAAAAACTCTACTTTCCTTGATTCAGACAGACGGGTTTTATTTCTTGCAAATACAGCATTTGTTGTAAATACTTTTTTTTTTTTTTTTTTGGTCTGAGACAGGTTCTTACTAGGCAGCTCAGGCTGGCCTTCAGCTCACTTTGTAGCCCAGGCTGGTCTCGGACTCAGAGTGACCCTCCTGCCTCAGCCTCCCGAGGGGTGGGATTGACCTACTACATTCTTGCTTTTTATTTCTAGTCTCTGCATGGAGACATAAGCACCTTGAAGACAACCCTGCTGGAGGGCTTTGCCGGTGTGGAAGAAGCCAGAGAGCAGGATGGGAGAAACCATGACTCCGGGTACCTCCATCTGCTCTACAAGAGACCCCTGGACCCCAGGAGTGAAGCTCAGCTCCAGGTGGGAGCAGCTCTTCCATTCCAGGGAGGTTCCACAGCCACTTGGCAGCCACTGCCATCTTCCTCTGGCTCTGATGGATTTGTGTCATGGTCCCTGATAGAGTTGTTGATTTTTTGCTGATATCATGTTGCACTTTTTGCCTGTGGCAAAGAAAATAGCACTTTTACCATTAAAATATTTTTTTTAAATAAAATTCCTAATTAAACCTTAAACATGCTAGAGAACACTGTGGGAACAGGTATTGTAGCAGCTGTTTCATGAAGGCCAGTTCATCTGCTAAGTGTTTTTATGCATTATTTTTAGTCTTCAAAGCCAACTGCCCTGCAAGGGAAGTTACTGCTCTCTTATACAAATAGAAAACAGCCTCCGAGGCCGAGGTAGTCATGTTGCCCACAGCCAGTCCGTGAGTCGGAATTGGAACCTGGGTCTGGCTCCTCAGGGCTCGCTCCTGTGCGCTGGAGCTGAGTACTGCTGCTTTCTCGTGAGCTGTTAATTCCTCACTTCTCTTTGGCCAGCTGGGGTCTCGTTTTTGTTTTTTGGTTCACTCCAGCCGCTGTAGTTCAAGGCTTGTCTTACCCACTGCTGCTGTCTCAAGCTCCCAAGGAGGTGTACAGGCAGCCTGGGCTCCTGCGCCTTGGACACAGGCCTCTGGGCTGGTGGATGAGTCCCTCCTGCTTGGGAGAACTTGACGCTGCAGGCTGCTGCTCCCCCGGCGACCCCAGGCCAGCTCCCTGACATCTGTAAACCTCCTGGACAGTGGGGAGGTGCGGAGGGGAGCCCCCCACCCACAAGGGTGGGCACTGCTGCTTTTGCAGCTCCATGTCTCTAATGCTTCCTGACTCCAGGCCGTCCATCAGGTGCCCCACACCGCTGCCGCCTCTCTGCTCCCCACATGCCCTTTTCTCTGGTGCTCTGTGTCCACGCTAAGGCAAGCACAGGGCTTCAGGGGACACTTAGTTCATGAGGGAGTAACTGTCTGTCATCACAGTACTGAGTAGGAAATGCTGGGGGGCCTGTATCGAGTACAGAGACGAGGAAACAGGTGCTCAAGCTGCCCACCTCTTGAGTCCGGGCAGCTGACTGAGCCTGTGTTCGCGAATGCTCTGCTGCAGTGCCTGGTCCCACCGGGGTGAGCAGTGGCCAGAGGCAGACACAAGCTGAACGTGGGTGAGTTGCCGTGGGACTGCCAGCACGAGTGCAGCTAAGCCTCGGTAAAGAGGGGCTTGAGGGGCTGCGGAGATAGCTCAGCAGTCTACGTGCCTGCCTGGCAAGTGCAAGGTCCTGAGTTCAGTACCTGACACCGCGCGCCGCGCTGGCCCGGGTTCCCAGACGTGCTGTGCCAGCTCTGAGAGGAGTGGCGGTGCGCGCCTATAACCCAGCGCGGGGGGCTGAGCCAGGAGGGCCGCTGTGATTCTGAGATGCTGAATAAAAGTACAATGAAAAAAGGGTTCAGATGAAGTCTGAGAGGAGTTGGCTTTTGCTGGCTGATCGCAGTGGGAAGGCACCCAGGAAAGCAGCCCTGACGCCAGTAGCCTGGGGACGGTCACATGGGAAGGGCCAAGGGAAACAGCCTTCTACGGTTACTGTTGGCTGCTGAGCTTCCTGCCACATTTCCTGAGTCAGCTTGGCTCTTCTTAAGTGACATTTTCTATTTTTCTGTTGGGGCATCTGCCTTTATCCAGGAATAATTTTAAAAATACATTTCAGCATAATTAAATCTTTGCCCACATGTAAAGAGCTCTTCCCAGGATCTGGTCCATGGTCTCCACTGGTAAACTTAATGCTTTATCTTGGCTTTTAGAGTCAGGTGGCATAGTGCTGAAAGTTACCAGTGGCCTAGGTTATTACAAGCCTGAAGTAGTTGAATAGGTAAGAGTTTTAATAAAGGTAAATTAATTTTTCTGGTGCTGATGCATTTGTTTTTGAGAAGCAAGTCCTTCTTGACTGGTGAGATGACTTCTATGTGGGATGCTGTGGCTGGATAGGCTGAGAATTATTCTCAGCAGTGCTTTGTGGGATGATCTGCATATTCCAGTTACTGCGTGAGTGGGAGAGCAGAGCTAGGCGGTGGTGCCGTCTGCATACCTGAGTGCAGCGGAGGATTCCCAGCCCTCGCGAGAGCCCTGCCAGGAGCCACGCAGGAAGAACACTTGCTCCCCAGGGCCGTGGACGCCCACGCTCCTCCCTCCCTCTGTGCCACCCTCTGTCACAGCTAAGGGAGCTGGCTTTCTGTTTTTCATTTTAATTACAACGTTTTAATGGTTGTATTAAACCTATTAGGTTTTTCTTGTTCATTATGGTTCCCAATATACAAGTAGTTAAATTATTTTTTACTATTTTCATACATCATCCCCCCCATGCTAGCAGAAAAATGAGTCATTTGTCTTGGATTTTTTTTCTCACAGGAAATTCGGCGCCTCCATCAATACGTGAAATTTGCTGTCCAGGATGTGAATGACGTCCTGGACTTGGAGTGGGATCGGCATCTGGAGCAAAAGAAGAAGCAAAAGTGAGCAAGATCTCTCAGCCAGCACCATCCAGGGGATGTCGGTGCTGCTTTTTAAAACATGCTGCAGGAGCATCTCAGCTCCTTTCTCACACCACTGAGCCCTTGTGCCTGATGCCCACAGCTGTGAGGGGGAGAACTTTATTCGCATTCACTGTTTGTAGAGGTTTCAGCCCCTAGTCAGCTGGGGCGCAGCAGAGGAGATGGTAGGGAGACAGCGCCCATCATGGGGCCAGGAAGCAGGGAGACTGAGACCAAGGGAGCAGGGAGGGAGGCAGACCCTTTGGGCTACGCCCCAGTGCCCCACTTCTTCTAACGGAGGCATTGGCCATGAGCTGATCAGTGGACTGACTTCCTGATGAGCGCCACCCCCCAGGATCCAGGCCCCCACCTAGGAGCACTTAGGGGCGGTGGGGGGTGGGGACATCTAGCTAGAAGCCATGGTAAGGAGCCTGTGGAAAAACCTTATGCGGTTCTTTTTGACACAAGTCATTTCATAGATAAAGCTTTTGTTGTAAAAGTAATGTATGACCGTCACAATAATTTACACAGTGGATTTTTTTTTTCTTTTTGCCTTTTTGCTTTTTTGCCTTTTTTTTGAGACAGGGTCTCACTATGCAGCTCAGGCTGTCCTTGACCTCGTTTTGTAGCCCAGGCTGGCCTCAGCCCTGCAGTGATCTTGCGATCCTCCTGCCTCAGACTCCCGAGTGCTAGGATTACAAGCGCGCACCACTGTGCCTTGCCAGGTTCTCTTTTTGAGAAAGCATCTCTGTGGATAATGACAAATACTAGGGGAACGCTGGGAAAGAAGGTAGCAGCCGCTGAGCCTTGGCTCCTAGCCTCAGGCAGTTGGTTTTAGGCCTGTTTTTCAGAAGGAACAGAAGGGGCTGTGCTGAGGGCAAGGAGGTGTCAGCTGGCTTTCTCAACACTTGCGCTTGATGCGCCCTCCTGAGAAACCAGCCATGCCTTGTCTGTGCGTTGTTGGCCTGTTCACAGAGCTGTGGGGTTGGAGCTTCTCCAGGGACAGGCCAGGGATGGTCCCACAGTCAGTGTAGGGAACAGAAGTGGGCCAGACTGCTGGAGAAGGTGGAAGGCCCCAGAGCAGAGGTGTGGACGTGGGTGCCAACTCTGTCCACTGTCCAGGGCAGGGTCCAGGGCCTGACACTGCACCCCATGAGTGATGGCAGAGCATCCTTGTCGGGCTCAGGCCCCGTGTGCCTGTATGTTGCTTTCCCCAAGCCCAAGTATGACCTGGCCCAGCACTGTGAACTCTGCTCCGCTGCCCGTCATGTTTCACTTTGCTTGTTAAGAAGTTGAGTTCTGGGCCAGGGATATAGCCCAGTGGCACGGCACCTGCCTGGCAAACACAAGATCCTGAGTTTGATTTCCAATACCAAAAAATAAAAGAAAAAGAAGTTGAGTTCTTAAAAAGCACATGAGGCTAACCAAGAAGCCAGGCTTTCTTTTCCTAGTGCAGCTCTGCACCCTTCCTCCTCCCTGTCAGGCTAGGCCCTGAGGAGGGACCGAGACCACTAGGACAAGCAGGATTAAAGCAGACAGTGGTATCTGGGTGCAGCCTGGGTCAAGGGCGAGACGCTGTTGACCATGAACAAAGGAAGAGAATCTGCTTTATAAACTAATTTAGGAACACGAGAAGGCATCAAGTGTCATTGGTGGGTTGGTGCCTCTGTGGAGAGGGAAGTACAAGATGACAGTGGCATTCCACTGATTTACGGCATCCCATTCTGTAGACTTACAGGGTTTCCTGTAAGCCTGAGAACCAGGCTTGGGAGCCATCCTGATGAAGAGATTTAGTTTCGTTTCTCAAGCCGAGGGGTAGGCTTCCTGCTTGAACAGAGTGGTGGTCCATAGTTTTTCTCTTCAGGTTAGGAGGGGCCAACTTGTGAGGACCTGACACTCGCGGTGCTTCCCTGAGGTTGCTTTCTGCAGGGTTCACATTCTGAAATGGTCAGTTTTGTGTTTCAGCAGCAGTCTTCTGTTCTTGCCCCTTCTCTAAATATTACCTTGTGTCTGCTGAAAGCCATTGTAAGAACTGGTGCTATTCTTCCCTGTCCTGAGGCACTCACCCAGCTGGCTCTCAACCTCCCAAGCAAGTAACTAATGAGTAATGAAAACAAACTACAAGTTTCTGTTCTCCCTCAGCATCTTGCCTTTCCTGAGGCCTGTTGGTATTCAGGGGCAGAGAGAACTGTTAGTGTGGAACGACAGGAGTGATTGCTGCTGCTTGACAGCAATCTGAAGAAATGACCCACTCCCCTAGCCCTCTAGGGAGCCCTGTGTTCTTGTCCTTACGTGTGTGTGTGTGTGTGTGTGTGTGTGTGTGTGTGTGTGTCCGTGTCCATCCCATATAATTTACACAGAACAAATATGCCCTGCACATGCTGCCGCGCAGCTGGACCTCACCCTTGATTCCCACTTGTCTACTCAGGCTTGCTGGGCTTTGCGCCACCCCCACCCCCAGTGTCCACTCTCCCCTCTGCAGCCCTGGCCTGCATGTTTTAGGCTCTTTGGCCTTTTTTCCAGCTTAGCTTCCTTAGGCTTAATTAATTATCCTCTTTTATGTTCTGATAATTGCCTGTCCAGTGGTGGTTCACCATCTCACCATTTTTACAGTCACAGTTGTAGTCTTACAAGGGGAAGGGGATCCCTTTACTTGAACCATTCAGGTTTAATTTTTCTCATGGCTGCCCACAGGCGCCTGCTTGTGCCAGAGCGAGAGACATTGTTCAACACTCTAGCCAACAACCGGGAGATCATCAACCAGCAGAGGAAGCGGCTGAATCACCTGGTGGACAGCCTCCAGCAGCTGCGCCTCTATAACCAGACGTTCCAGTGGAGTCTGCCCCTGGCCGTGCCTGCCCAAAGCACCACTCGCAGGTGTGCATGGAGGGGAAGTGCTGCCAGCCGGGTGCTGAGGGAGCACCAGATTACTGCTCGGGAAGGCGCGGGATGTTCTTAGGGTGGTACAGGCGTGCGTCTGAAAATGACTGCTTGCCTGTATGATCCTGGCCAGGTACTCCCTCTCTGATTCTTGAGGGCCTGATTAATGGGGAGCACATACTTGCCTTTGGGGACTGTTGGAGAGTGACATGTTGTGCCTGATGAAACAAGCTCCCACAGGCCACAGTGTCGCTCTGGTAAAGTGCTTGTCAGGTGCGTGAGATCCTGGGCTCCATGCCCAGCACAGAGAGAGAAAGAAAAGCTGCTCAGGGCCAGGGAGATGGCTCAGTGGTGTAAATGCCTGCCTGGCAAGCACAAGGTCAAGTTCGATCCCCAGCACCAAAAGAAAAAACGAAAAGAACAGATGCTCAGCCAGGCCTGGCAGTGCACGCCTGTCACCCTAGCACTTGGGTGAGAAGATATTACTGGGAGGTTGAAGCAGGAGGGCCATGAATGCAAGGCCAGACTGGGTAGTGTAGTGACCCCTGTTGGGTTTTTCTGCACAATGAAGAAATAGAAAAGATGAAAGAAGCCTTTATGAACTCCAAAGACACAGAGGATCAAGGGCAGATGCAGAATCTTCTGACCTTAGACAAGGCTGAGGGCCAGCCAGATAGCTCAGTGGATTAAAGCACCTGCTTAGGCAGACACAGAGACCCCAGTTTAGGGGTGCACTGAGGGTGACTGAGACTGGGTGTGGTGGTACGCGCCTGTAATCCCAGCACTTGGGAGGCTGAAAACAGGAGGATCACTACAAGTCCGATCTGTGTAGTGAGACCCTGTAGACCCTGTACTAAATACATTAAAAAAAAAAAAAAAAAGCTGACACTTTCATGGACTGTCCTAGGGGTGGAGTGAAGAGGGGCAGTGTTAAGTACACTAAGGCGTTGACTGGGGTCTCTCCTGTGTGTGCGCAGGCAAGGTGAGAGGAAACTATATCCAGGCTGGAGTGGGGAAGGAGGAGGAAGTGGTCATGGGAAGATAAGCTGTTGTTTTGGGATTCAGCCATGTTAGATGGCCGCATAAGAATTCAGTGGTTCATGCTAGCGCCAGAACCTATCAAGCCCCTGTCTGAACAAATGATAAAAGGGCTGAGGGTGTACCTCAGTGATAAAGTATCTCTAGATTCATTCTCCAGTACCAGAAGAAAAGCATTAGGTATTTGATAGGTCACAATAAATACTAGAGTAACAGCGTTGCCCTTCTGCTGTAGTGTGGAGACTTTCAGACCTTGCCCTGAGACGCTTCACCTGGCAGTCAGCAAGGTGGCACTGTGCTGTGCTTTAGGCCCTGTGAGCAGTGTCGCTGCCCTTTATGCTGAGGCACATGGTAGTGTTTGACTGGGGTGGGGTACACTATGGCGGGCGCCGTCTGCTCGTGTGTGTCACGTACCCTGACCTATGTCAGCCTGTAGGAGGCACATGGGCCCAGCAAAGCTGCGCTTCCCAGCTCTTGGCTGCTTCGTGTGTAACTTTGTCCTCTTTCAGCTTTGACAGTGACCTAGAAACCCTGAGCAATGCTTTGTTAAAAACCACCATCGACTCGCACAGCAAGCCCTTGCCCAGAGTGCCAGGTAAACTATCCTCCCTGCCCTTTTAGCTCTGTCTTCTTCAGGTTGCCGGCATCAGAAAAACTGAGTCAGTGTCTTGCAGGTAAACTGTCCCCTGTGAAACAGACACAGCTGAGAAACTTCCTGGCCAAGAGGAAGACGCCACCAGTGAGATCCACGGCCCCAGGTAAAGGGACGTGGGCCTGAGCTCCTCCCAGCCTGTCATAAACCATGCACTGCCGGTGGTGGGGGGACGACTTTTATTTCTTAATTAACATCGCATCACAGTCTGCGTGCAGCACAGCTTATGCGTCCATGATGAAGCAGGTTGGCTTTTGCACAGTGTGCCTGCTGTGCTAAGGCGCATGACAGCTGGTCACAGGCCCTGCGCTGGGTCCTGGCCTTGTGGCTTTCCTGACTTCTCATTAACCTTCCATTGAGGTAGAGGGCTTCTTTGCTTATGAAAAAGGGAGAAAACCCAATTAGCAGTGATGATTAAAAATATTAGCAGGAAGGAAGCTTGGCCAGGTAGCACAGGTCTGTCAGTCCAGCGCCTCAGGAGACTAAGGCAGGAGGCTCGAAGGTTCAAGTCCCACCTGGGCAATTGAGACCCTGTCTCAACATAAAAAAGATAAAAAGACCCGGGGGTGGGCTTAGAGGTAGAGTGCCCCAGCTTTTTTCAGTCCTCAGTACAACAAAGAAAGAAGGGAAAACTGGCACAAATATTTTGCTGTAAAGAAACTGCAATGCTTTAAAAAAAAAAATTGCCATTAAATTATCTAGATATTTGCCTTTAAAAAAAAAAAAAGCATTGGGGTCGGGGGAGATGGCTCAGTAGAATAAGAGCTTGGCTGGCAAGCACAAGGGCCTGAGTTCAATCCCCGGTTCCACCAAAAAAAAAAAAAAATTGTTACAACCTGCTTTATTTTGGTGCCCAATTTTGCATTTTTCATTGAAATTCTGAGTTTTCTTTTGAGGCCAGCAGCAGATGCTTTGGGGTATTTTCTATTCAAGCAGCTACTTACTGTATCACAGTTTTTTTTCTCGGAATCACATAGGACTAGAGAAGGTAAGTAATGGGTCACAGACAAGTGAATTTTTAAATAACTTCTTATCTTGATATATTTTCTTGGTAGCTAATCAAGGATAATTATGGAAAACTAAAAAAAGTAAAAATTGCTTTTAAATCTCAAGCCACATATGGCCTCAACTGTGACATTTGGGCTGCTCCCTACCTTTTTTTCTTTACATATGTAGATCTGATCTTTGGAAAATGATTTGGGAATTAAACATTTACAGTTTTGTGCTTTGATTTTTTAAATTAAAAATGTAAGAGCGGGGCCGGGGAGATGGCTCAGTGGAATAGTGGAATAAGCACTTTCCTGGCAAGCACAAGGGCCTGAGTTCAATCCCTGGTTCCACCAAAAAAAAAAAAAAAAAAAAATTCAAGAGCTCTTATTTCAAAAATACAAAAAATAATATTGCTGAGGATATGCAGCATTTAGAACAACGTCAGTGGGGCTGGAGAGATGGCTCAGTGGTCTAAAGCACCTACTTGGAACAAGCTTGGCAAAGCACAGGGACGGCAGTTCGATCCTCCAGCACCACATGCCAGCCAGCCGCGCCCCCTGGTGGGCTGAGCTGGCCACACACACACACACACACACACACACACACACACACACACACACACTAAATAAATGTTAAAAAAAATTTTAAAAAAAGAACAACGTCAGTGTGAATGCAGACTCGCGCGGCCTCTGTGTAAGACTGTTGCATGGTCAGAAGTAGCTGAGCGTGGTGGCGCGCATCCATAGCCCAGCACTCCAAAAGTTGCGGCAGGAGGATCCCAAGTTTGAGGCCAACCTGGCTCAGTAGAAGGACCTTGTCTCAAAAAACAAAAAATAAAAATAGAATTACTTGATGTAGATGCTCTGCTTCTGCACAGACTCTCCAGAGTTTATTACTGTACATGTTGTCACAGTGAGCATAGCACTGCAGAATTTAAACCAGGGCTTCAGGGCTGGGGAGGTAGCTCAGAGGCACGAGCGTCGCCAGACAAGTGCAAGGTTCTGAGTTTGATCCTCAGTGCCACCAAAAAAAAAAAAGAAAACCAGTTTCACAGAGATTTCAGCACTCATGTTTACAGCAAGATTGTTCCGGTTCCCTGAATGCCAAGAGGTGGAAACTGCCTGTATGTGGGTGGAACTCGCTGTAGAACGGAAGCTCTGTCCCTGCTGGGGTGCAGATAGGACTGCCCAGGCTTCGCCCTGGTCTCGAGGGGGCGGAGCCTGTCTGGATGCATTCTGGGAAGTGCTCAAGAGAGGTCAGAGTCCTGCATTGCTCCTCTGAGCGCCACAGATTTCCTCCCGCCCCGCCCCCAACCTCCCTGCGCACAACCGCTGAGGCACATCTCTGGGCATCTCTATCTCTGCATGGTGGATTCCTCAGGGTGACGTGAGGGGTCCCTCTACCTATTCACTGCCATTAGCCGGCTGGCTCCATCAGCCACCCTAAAATGAGACTCGGTACTCAGTACTCGGTACTGTTCTTTTTCTGTATTCTAGAGCTGTGCTGTCCAGTATAGAACCTTATTTAAATTGTAATGAATTTAAATAAAAAATTTAATTCTATAATCACAGTAGCCATACTTCAAATGCAGAGTAATTGCATGTGTGTACCGGTGGCTTCTGTAATGACAAGCACAAGCATATACTGTCATTGCCACAGAAAGTTCTGCAATCTAGACCAGGGGTTGGCTGGATCTTTTTCTTTTTCTCTGTCTCTCCCCTCAACCCCCTTTCAGACAGTCGCACTGTTTAGTTTGACTGACCTCTAACTCTTGGCTGACCTCTAACTCTTGGAAATCCCTTTGCTTAGCCTCCCAAGTGCTGGGATTGCAAGCAT